GGATTAACTGTATAAATAAACTCAATGGGATTAACTGTATAAATAAAGGTTGAACGATTTTGATTTTAACTAATGGAAGCAGAGTTGCGCATGCGCAGATTGAATCCGTTGCTTAACCAATAAACATTTTTAAATGACTTCTTTCTTGTATGTAGCTGTGAATGACAAGAATTACAACTCATAATAAAAATCATTTACAGGAGGAGTAGCACCGGAGTTAGTCAGCAGCAACCAGGTCCTTTATGTTCGTCAGAAGACATAGTTGTGTCAAAGTTTTAACGGAAAGTTAGCTTGTTGAAGCTACTTGGCTAACCAGGCGTCTTACCGGATACTTTAATGCTGTTCTCAGTTCGGCCAGGTAAAGCCGCCTCTGGTGTTGGCATCTGGGCTTTGGTGGTCATGTCTCCCATCTTACTGTTGACAAAATGACGCCAAATTAAGCGGAACCTGGAGGAGGAAGAGACCATTGAACACGGAGCTGCAGCTTCAAAGTCCGTCTCCACAGAGGCTGTTTCATCAGCAGTTAGCACAGTTAGCTCTGTTAGCATAGAGGCTAGTTTACTGTAGTTAGCTCTGTTAGCATATAGGCTAGTTTACTGTAGTTAGCTCTGTTAACACAGAGGCTAGATCACTGTAGTTAGCTCTGTTAACATATAGGCTAGTTTACTGTAGTTAGGTCTTTTAGTGTAGAGGCTAGTTTACTGTAGTTAGTTCTGTTAGCATAGAGGCTAGTTTACTGTAGTTAGCTCTGTAGCATATAGGCTAGTTTACTGTAGTTAGCTCTGTAGCATATAGGCTAGTTTACTGTAGTTAGCTCTGTTAGCGCAGAGGCTAGATCACTGTAGTTAGCTCTGTTAACATATAGGCTAGTTTACTGTAGTTAGCTCTGTTAGCGCAGAGGCTAGATCACTGTAGTTAGCTCTGTTAACATATAGGCTAGTTTACTGTAGTTAGCTCCAGAGCCCTGTAAAGAGAGCTCTGTTAGCATAGAGCCAAGATTTCTGTAGTTAGCTCTGTTAGCATAGAGGCTAGATTTTTGTAGTTAGATCTGTTAGCATAGAGGCTACATTGTTGTTTTTTAAGGCTAGATTTTTGTAGTTGGCTCCACAGAAATGTATATATGGTTAGCTGTGTTAATGTAGTAAAGGCTAGATTTCTGCAGTAAGTGCTGTTAGTGTAGAGGCTTGATTACTGTAGTCAGTTCTGTTAGCATAGAGGCTAGAGTTCTGCAGTTTGCTCTGTTATTATAGAGGCTAGATTTCTGCAGTTCTGTTAGCATAGAAGTTTGATTTCTGCAGTTAGCCCTGTTAGCGTAGAGGCTAGATTACCGTAGTTAGCTCTGTTATCATAGAGGCTAGGTTTTTGCAGTTAGCTCTGTTAGCATAGAGGCTAAATTTCTGCTGTTAGCTCTGTTAGCATAGAAGCTTGATTTCTGCAGTTAGCTCTGTTATCACAGAGGCTAGGTTTCTGCAGTTAGCTCTGTTTGCATAGAGGCTTGATTTAGCTAGAAACTGTTGGGCACAGAGCTGGCTCTGCTGCCCATCCTGAACAATGCCAATCACCCTCTGCATCTTCAGCATGTAGAGGACACATTCAGCCATGGACTGGTGTCACAGAGTCCTGCTCCACCAAGACTGATCTCTTGTCTCTCTGGCCATAAGACTGTCCACCTTGTTAGCGGGGAGGTGCTCAGACAGAGGTGCTTTTAAGAGTCGTAGTCCTCAGATAAATAGTGTTAACTTGTTTTTTTATATTTAAGAATGTTTCAGTTCAGTGCCCTGAAATAACTTCTGTTGTGACTTGGTGCTATATAAATAAACAGAGTTGAACTGAGTTCTGTGTTGGGTGGTTCCTGTTTCATTAAAGGTGCTGTGCCTTTAGCCACTGCTGGATGTTTGAATTTCCTTAGGTATTAATAAAGTGTCTTTCTAATGTAATTTAATCGATCAAGATGGACGCCACAGCCAGCCTTAATTCTGTCAGTCTTTAGTGTAGTAGAAGCCGAGAGTCATCCAAACATTTTGATAAAATGTTCAAAAAATGGTTTTAAATAATAATAATTTACTGAATTATATGTCTTGTTTTGTACAGTTGTCTTGTTTTTGAATGTTTTACCATTAGTGTTACTTTGGTTTGGAACAAGTCAAACACATAATGAAAGTCACTCTTGAATAATTCAAATCACATTTACTGTGTGGTGAAGTTTTCACTGGATGCCCAGTAAAACCAGTAGAGATTTTTCTGCAGGCCACATTTTTATATTTCAGTCATTTATTGAATTTTACAAAAATAAATTAAGAAAATGTGAACAAAAAGACTGAAAAACAGGCTGTGGTTCAAATCTCAGATTGCTGCTCTGACCAAATATTTAAGATGGTTGTAGTTGATATTGATCCCTCTGTTAGCATAATATTTCCTGGGTCACTGCACAGATTTTAATGAAACCTTTAGGAAATAATCACTGGATGCACAGATGTTTGGAGCTGATCCATGAAAATGGCCACCACAGCCAGTTGACCTTCAAAACCACAGGCTGTATTCAGTCAGTGTTACGTTGAATTTCTTTGTGGTAGTAGCTGAGGGTCATTCAAAACATGCATTTCAAGTGCCGTTCATTTAGTTTAAAACTGCTAATGTCAACTTTATTTGTATTTTTGGAAATGTACCACCAGACAGATTTGAATGAAACTTTCAGGAACACTGTTTGAGTGAATGGCCGCCACATGAACAGCAGCCCAGAGAAGCGGTCAGTGTGTCGTGGCTGAGGGTCATTCCCAACACGTCCTCTGAGCGCAATCAGGGAGAATAATTCAGGGTTTGACCCTCATCGTGGTGAGAGCCGGCGGGCGACACGCATTCAGCTCCTGTGGTTTCAGGAAGCTGACAGTCAGATGGGCTGAGGCAGATGCTTCCACTGAGCTGTCCTCCCCCCTTCCTGAGAGGAGGGGGGAGGATGTACAAACCTCACTCCCCTCCCCTCTCCATCTGACTGCGCCCGGCTCGATCCTCTCCTCCATCCGTCCAGCTCCGCGGTCTGCACCCAGAACACCCAGAACCTGGTCCGGCTCCGGTTCCTTTACGGGTTCTTTGGACTAATGAGCTCCTCTGGATGGGGAACACTTGATCCAGACCATCTGCAGAAGAAGGGACGGTCCGACCTCCTCCTCCTCCTCCTCCTCCCTGCATCATCCCTCCGCATCCTCAGCATCCCTCCGGGGAGAGGACACACACCAAGCCGGCTCAAAGCCTCCCATCCTCGGCCACAGTGAGCATCTCACGTCGGTGCTTTTCAGCAGGTCTGGGTCATTTTCTGCGCGTCAAACCCAGAACCAGAACCAGAACCAGAACCAATGTGCGCTTATTCTCCTCCTGCCTGCAGCTGGAAGGTATTGTTCTATTTTACTCTCGTGTGCTCTTTAGAGATGAAACACGCGCATTTCGTCTTCAGATCTCCTTGTTGTTGTGCGCTAAACGCGCCCGCGGGCGCCGCAGTGTGCGTGCGTCCTCTGCGCAACTCCTCACTTCTGTCCTTTTCTCCTCAGCCTGAGCTCAAATAAACACTCAGATCCTACAAAACTGTCATATTTTACTTCAAGCTGTGATGTCATGCTCCAATAAAATCAAATCTTAATTAGATGTTTAGTCTTTTTTATTTATTTTTTTTACATAATTTGGTGTTAAATAAGGATATTTTCGTTTCTGTTTGAGTGTTTGCATAAAAAAAAAAATAAAAAAATCTGCTCCAACCTTCACGCCCGACCCCCACAAAGGAGATCACCCCCCCCCCCCCCCCCTCCTCGTTGCATTTTAGCCTACATGAGCTATCTGGGTCATTAGCATTTATGCGTTTAATGAGGCTGCGGATGGATCCATTTGTGCTCCTCTGCAGTGCACATTTCTGCAGGATTTCTCTTGTTCCCTCTGCCAGGCTCTCCTCCTGCGGGATGAGGAGTGCTGCAGCTTCCTCCCCTGCAGCTGTGATGCAGCAGGCTGCAGGATAATGGAGGATGGATGGAGCTGCTGCTGCAGTGCTGCCTTTTCATCCACATTAAATCCACATTTACAAAACCTGAAGCGCCTCTTTCCGGTCTGCCAGTAAGCCATTATTGGTTTCCACTCCTCTGTGGTTTTAAAATCAATTTGCAGTGATTTTACACCTGCTGCAGACAAGCGATCAATCCCAGTGAGCGTCGTTTCAGAGGAGCTCACTTTGAACCTTTTCATGCAACAAACACCAGTGATTTGACTCTTTCTTTTTAAAAAGGTGCAGACATTTACGAACCACTGTGTGAATATTTTAAATGTAAATTGGCTAACAAACAAATAAATCTGCAGGTTTTCTTCTTTAATGCACTTTAAATCAAATTTATTTTAATAAACCTTTAATAAAAAAAGGCCTAAAGGAGTTCATATCCAGCAGATTAACAGCAGCACGGTCACTGAGACTGTTTGGAGGTCAGCAGGACATCCCGGACAGTTTATTGTACTGATAACACACACACATGCACGCACACACGCACTGGTTTGAATCAATACCAGTTTCATTACAGTGGCTCTGAGCTGCTTATCTGTTTGTGGACTGCAGGAGGAGACGATGCACTGCAGAGGAGCAGAGATGAAATCTAAAAATACAAACTGAATAAATATTACCTGCAGCTCATTAAGTGCTAAAAATAAAGCCGTCACCTTGACCATGATAATAAGAAGTGGAAATGCTACAATTTGGTCTCAAATTAATGTTTTATTGACCCGTCACGGGACAATGCATTTTACTAAGCTGGTAAATGTGTTTAAATGTTCTTTAAAAACCACCAGGCCCGTTGTAAATCAAAGATTAGAACAATTTTTTAAAGCGTCAGTTGGTCAAACTTTTCAGGCAACAAAGTGAAAATTAATTTTACAAAATTGGCTTTTTATTGTTTTGAAAAAAAAAAATAGGAGAAAGTATTAAAAGGATACACGGTCAAGGTGTTTTAAAAAGGAATTAAAGTTGGTCAAAGTGTCGAGCCGGGGGGACGGGGTGAGTTTGGGTTTTCTCTCCTCGTGTTCACAGCGGACCTTGATTTAAATGTCCATACAATTAAGGCACGCGGTGAATGCCAAGAGAGTGAACGAACGTCAGCACAAACCGACACGACCACACCTGAAGGTCCAGGTGAAGTTAAACAACTCGTTACAGCAACGACGCAAAAAGAGCGGGACGCAGTACCAACACTAACCACGAGGTGGGGCACTCTTCTTTTTCTTTTGCAGATTTACAAAAAAGTCTCGTGTTTGAGATGGAAACCGTCTGCATATAAAAACTAATTCACATGTTTTGAAATCTGGCAACGGTGTCCAGTTACTTTTAACTGTTTAAAATTCACAGAAAACATTACAATTAAAAACTTGGAACATGTGCATTTATTTAACAGTGATGGTTTTGCAAAATATTTTTGTGAGAATATCGATTCAACTGAAAAACGCCTTTAACAAAAACTCCCGTCCTATAAATAAAACCAGAGGTCATTTGTTCAAAAATGGCCTCCAAAAGTGACCTTCAGGATTTCATTGTGGCAGCGCCCTCTGGTGACTGGAGGGATAAGGGCAGGAGGAAAGGAGTTTTTAGTCCAAGCTGGTGGGGGAGGTCAGTTCAAAGTAAACGTTTGCCTTTCGCTATGATCAAGTTGGTCACTTGTTAAATAAATAAATTACCAGATTTTAGTTTGCTCAGCTCTGAATGTTGGTGACACATTATGAACATTTCTGAGGGATTTTTTTGAAAATATCTCTAAACAAGAGTTTCCTCACAGAAACTTTTAACAATAGCAATTATGTGACGATATCCTCTAATGTTATTTACGTAATCTTACCTACCTTTGCGCAGTTTGTCTCCCCGACATTTTTAATTTAAACTATTGGGGAATACTTTTAAAATGAAAATGGGTTGATCTGGACAAGTTTTTGGATCTGGGTTCAAGTGCCAAAATGCAGATCTAATGCTTTTTGAGAGAGGTTTGAGACCCCCAACAACTAAACTGATTGATACAGGGTTGAGACCTCCATAATTAAACTGAGACAGGTTTGAGACTCCCACAACAAAACTGAGATGAGTTTGAGACCCCCACAACAAATCTGAGACAGCTTTGAGACCCACACAACTAAACAGACAGGTATGAGACCCCAATAACTAAACTGAGACAGGTTTGAGACCCCCACAACAAAACTGAAACAGGTTTGAGACAACCACAACTAAACTGAGACAGGTTTGAGACCTCCAACAACTAAATTGAGACAGGTTTGAGACCTCCAACAACTAAACTGAGACAGGTTTAAGACCACAATTAAAATGAGACAGGTTTGAGATCCC